TTAGTTGGAACACATCCTCCGTTCCCCCTTTTTGAAAAGAGGGACCACCACCCCGGTCTGTCAATCCAGAGGCACTTTCCCCAACTGCCATGCAATGTTGCAGAGGTGTGTCAGCCAAGACAGCCCCACAGCATCCAGAGACTTAAGGTACTCAGGGTGGATCTCATCCACCCCCGGTGCCTTGCCACCAAGAAGCTTCTCAACTACCTCGGTGACTTCAGCTTGGGTGATGGACGAGTCCACCTCTGAGCCCCCAGCCTCTGCTTCCTCATCGGAAGACATGACGCTGGGGTTGAGGAGATCCTCGAAATATTCCTTCCACCGTCCGACAGTGTCCCCAGTTGAGGTCAACAGCTGCCCACCTCCACTGTAAACAGTTTTGGCAGGGCACTGCTTCCCCCTCCTGAGGCGCCAGACGGTTTGCCAGAATCTCTAAAGAGGCCAACCGATAGTCCCTCTCCATGGCCTCGCCGAACTCTTCCCAGACCCAAGTTTTTGCCTCCGCAACCGCCTGGGCTGCAGCCCGCTTGGCCTGCCGGTACCCGTCAGCTGTCTCAGGAGGCTGGCAGTTCAAGGATGGATTTCTGTTCAGTCTGAAACTCAGGGTCCTGGTCCACATCAAACCCGGGTCAAGCCATTTTTCTAAAAGCATGTTCAGACGGTGGTGCCCACACCGGACAAGCAGCACTTGGGACAGTAATTTAAAACTTAACTGGAGGTTTTGTCATGGCAATATATTCTCTAACCCTGACCTGCAGAGGACCATGACATCATTATTTCATAAAAAAAAATATATTTTTTTTTACTTTAATTACACAAATACAACAGGTTTAGCATTCCAGTCATTTAACATGAAGCACAGATGCTTCAAACTCATCTGACAGAAGAGCAGCAGTAGACCAGCAACCCCTGTGTTCTGCCAGGTGCAATTACTGTTTTTGTCAGTGGAGTCCGGTAGCTTTGAAAAGAGCAATATACCGGCTTCAGTTCACTGGACTGTCCAAGGCAAGATACAGCGGTCTCTGTCCCGTGCACAAGTGGAGCCAAACAAGTCCCCCAATGTGTGGTCGCATGACCCAGGACAAATCTCTGTTCAGGTGTGATGCAGTGAGTCACCTGCTGCACGGCAGAACTCACCTCTATCTGATGCTGCACCTGCTGCAGCTGCTCCACATGGGACTGCTCCTCCTCCTCGTCCTCGGGCTGCTCGGTGCCGTTCACCCCATCAGGATCCTGGTTCAGAGGTTGGTAATAATATCCTCCACTGCTCACCTCCTCCTCTTCCTCCTCTACATCTAGCTCCATATCTCCCCCCTGCTCCTCCTCCTCTTCAGCACCTCCCTCACCCCCGCTCCACACTGCCCCCACTGGCAGCAGCGCTCCATCAGCTGGACGCTGGTCCTCGCCAAGCTCCTCCTCAGAGCTCGGTAAGACTCTCTCTGGTCCCATCACAGAGCTCCACACTTCCATCCACAGACACAGCAGACCTGAGGACGATGACACACACGGTCATACATACAACAACATACTTTAATCTGCTGCTCAAAATAGTCCCTGTACTGTGTAAATGTTCAGATTCTTGTCCATCATCAGGAGGCGTCTGATCAGATTCAACCTGCAGGTGTGCTTAGGGGACCTAGGGCTGATTTAAGGGGGGAGGGGGGGAGACAGCAAACACTGATCTGGTTTAGGTTTGCTGCACTTTGGAGTTCAGTGAGATGAAAACTATTCATTGAGTTTCATGTGTACATGTGAAATATCCTCTCTTTACTGTTAGTGCCCGAAAACCTTACCTATTGCACAGGTAACAGACTGTATTGATACAACAGCACCAGAGTCAAGTCATGCTCATCACTCTGCTGCTCTCAATGCCTTCTTTATCATCACGTTTACTGCTGGTGGGTTTTTTTGGCAGATTACTTAATCACTTCCGGTACCCACCACCGTGTGTTTACAAACGTTATTTTAGCACAACAGTTCATTTAGGTAAATGAATGCGCACAGATTTCTCTCTAACTGTGGTCCAAGTTCGTGAAACTTTACAAGAAGAAATGAGCTCATGTTTTTACTGAACAGGAGGAATCGGAGGATGTTCCCAGCAAAACGAGCTCGCATCACAATCCCAGTTGATTTAAGGAAACCCCAATGTGAAGTGACTGAATTGAAGTGAATGCTAACAGCTAACTCTCAGCTCCGTTGGCCATGCTCCTGTTCAGATAGTCTGTTACTGCTAACCACAGTCCGAGTCTGTGTGGTGAACCTGAGTAACCATCGGACAGATGTAGATGATGACAGAGCGGCTAACACCTAACGAAGCTAACTGCTGCAGGCTGTTAGTTTCTGTAAGGACCCGGCTTGTTTCCCCGGTTATTAAACCCTCTGTTCTTGTCGTTTTATTCCTGGCACAACAAATGTTAGAGAGTTTAGTATCTTACCCGTCCGCCTGCCTGCTCGGAACTTCAGTTCGTACCTCCTAGCTGCTGCAACTGCTGATCAGACGCCCCTGAGTACGCCACGACGCCGCAACAAAACGGACGTCATGACGCAAAACCTTTTTTTTATTCAAGAACTTTATTAACAAAAACCTTAGCGCAGCAACGACATTTTAGTCCCCAGTCCAAAAAGAACAGCTAAATAGAAAAGAAAAATGCAAATTTCAAATTGGATATATAAAATACAAGAAGTAAATAAGTATTTTATGAATTAGGTGAACGGTCTGTACGTTTATTCGTTTTTTTTGTCATTTTATTCAGTTAATATTTTCTATCAACTTTAGGTGCCAGCACAAGGTGTCAGGTTTCAAATACTTCACCAGTGTGAGGAATACTAAATCAAGTTATTTATATTTTACAATAAAAACAAATTGAATTAAATGAATGCATTTAATCAGTAAAATGTCTCACTCAGATCCCTGGTCGATTCAGTAGCAGCGCATTACACACAAGTTACAAAACATCAAACAGACAGATTTAAAATGAAAACAGCATAAAGGGGTTTCAGTTTCATTAGTCAGCTAGGGCTTTTATTCTGAAAGTCTGGCACGGAAAGTGTCAGGTGTTTTCTGATCAGTCAAGATCATGAATCGGTAATAAATACGAATCATCAATACTCGGTTTAATTAAAGAAAATTCTCTTTTCTCCGCGTTAAGTTACAGAGAGAGGCGGATTAAAACGTGAAGGAGTTGTGACGTAACAATTGTAAATATCATGAATCAAAGAAAAGGTATTACTCTGATCATATTCAGATTGAATATAAAAAATGTAAAAATATGTATTACTAATTTAGGCCCAATATGTGTATAAATTATACATATGTTTGTTTTGTTTGTTTATTTATTCAATTATCACTTAATTAATTTGATTTAAATATAGCTAATAAATCAAATCAAATCAAATTTTATTTGTATAGCGCCAAATCACAACAAAAGTCATCTCAGGACACTTTACAAACTAAGGTCTAGACCTTACTGTTATCAATATTATTACATAGGGAAAACCCAACAAATCCCCCTTGAGCAAGCACTTGG